CGCATCATCTCCATGTGACCCCAGTGCAAATAACCTCCACCCAGAGCCTACAGACATAATGCAATGACATTCAGAGATCTTTAATATATGTACTAAATAAACATACACTTTCTGGGTTACTTCAAAACACTGACCACGATCCCATACTGTCCTTCGCTGAACGTATTTGTGCTTTTGGCCGGTCCCTGGATATCTCGCAGCTTCTTCATCTCCTTCTTTGCTTGTTTTAAATTTGGGACCTTTTCGAGGAACTTCAGTTTAGGCTTGTCTGGTAGAACCACGTCTGCATGAGAGAAAAACATAAATCACACACTCTAGTTTAGTGGCTGCACAATTCATCAAAAAATAAAACCAAAATGAGCTTTTTTAAAACTGAAATATGGCTTAGTGCGATTATTCAAGCACAACCGCTGTCTTCATATCTCTGCATATATTTATAAAATTAAATCACATTTAATTAAATATAAGCAATGAAATGAAGGCAGCCGTAAATAGTAGTATTATAATTTTAGTTGTAAAATAAAATGATTATTAGTATTATATTTTTCTTAAATACTCTTTTTTTATTTTACAGTGAAATTTTACAAAACTAATTATTCTTTTGTTAATATTGTTGTTACTAAAGTAAAATATAAAAATACAAAAACAAAATCTAAAAAAAACAAAATAATTATATCATTTTTTTTTTATTCTATTCAGAAACAACAATAATACAAATTATTCTTATTATCTGTATTAATGGATTTTGGACAAATTTTGCATCATAGCAAAACCTGGATTTTTTTTTTTTTTTTTTTTAAGTTACATTTTAAAGTGCATTTGCACTTTTTATTTGAAAAGTCACAATTGGGGTTAGAGTTAGTTTTATCTCCAAATCATGCAGCCCTACACTCTTGATCTTGAGAACAAAGAAATCAGAAACTGCTCACATGCTTTGTTGAAAGGGCTTAAATAATACAAGACCAACAAGCATCAACTAACGATCATAAATTAACTTAATGACTGAGTGAAAGTGTTTAACTGGTGAAATGTTGGTGCAGTATGAACGATCATTACCGCTGAAGTCTGGTGGAACTTCGTAAATTCTCAATCCTGCTGCCAAGACCTTCAGGTTATTTTGCAGCACATCTGCTGTGGAAGAAAGCGATTTCAGCAAATTCATTCGACTAGTAAACACGGTTTTAGTGGGTGAAATATCACTAAATATCACATTTGACAAGTTATGACACTCTGGTTATCACAAACATGTAAAGTTCAATCTAAAAATCAGTAACGTTAATACTGCAGACTATTAAATGAAGGATATAAATCACACTGACTCATGGTACATGTGTACATGTCTATACCAAACATGGTATCGCCATACTTTATGTCCAAAAAATATTTATGTATTAGTTGTACTAATAGAATTAATATGAAATATTATATATTACAATTAATATTGTAAGATTATTCATCTGCATTCTACCTGGCTGGCTTGATGTCCGGACAAAGCCCAGAAACGCGTGCTTCAACGTTGAGAACATGCTGATTCTAGAATTTAATTCTATATATAAAATATAAACGTATACTTCATATCTTCTCAGTTATGATTCACACCAGTCTCGTCGGATCCACAAGGTCGCTGCCATGTTTGCTCAACACCCGGTTTGTCGGTGAAATTCAGCCGGTGGAAACAGTCATGCGCATAATGAGTTCCGCGTAATTATAATTCAGTTAACTATATATATATATATATATAAATAATATACACACACATTAAGATGTCCGCATCAAAATAAATTTACAAAAGTATTTTAAAGTATTTTATTACATTAAATGTAAGTAAAGTGTCTACTTTTAAGGTTTCAAATAAGTTTTTGGGGAATAAAATGTCAAAATTTGGTTGAAATAATGTTACATTGTCATTCTGTGTAACAACATTTATGTAAAAATTCAAACCTTACCAATTAATTGATTTAAAAGTATCCCTGTTTAGTGCAAAAGTGAAAAGCAAGGTACTATACAATCTGGGCAAACTATATTATATACAAATGTAATATATATATATATATGTATATATATATATATATATAGATAGATATATAGATAGATATATATAATTTAAATTGTGCACAATATGTAAACAAAATATATGCCTGGAATTGGCCTACTACTTTGACAAACATGTACAGTATACAACAGAACACAGTGCATACTATAGCTATCCAACAAAGCATTGCATTTGTCAGTATATACGAATAGAGACATTTTACACAAAAATGGATTAAAAAGCAAATTGGCCATATTTATTTTTAGACTATTTTAAGAAACAGTGGTCAGTATACAGCCAGGGTTCTCAACTCTGGCCCTCGAGATCCATTTTCCTGCAGAGTTTAGCTCCAACCCTGATCAAACACACCTGAACAAGCTAATCAGGGTCTTCAAGATTACTAGAGTTACAGGCAGGTGAGTTTGATCAAGGCTGGAGCTCAACTCTGAATCTCGAGGGCCAGAGTTGAGAACACATGGTATACATTTTTGCATGGTAAGCACTGCAGTGCCCTAATATTCACTAAACACCTGAAGCCACACCCTCATGTCAATCAGAAACACCTGTCACATGATCACTGATAGCACACATCTCAGCAGTCAGGAGCTACATCAGGAATAACTTTAGCAAGTCCTCAGACTACATTGTTAGTAGGTAATTTTCTTTATTAGTATCCATTGGGTAAATTTATAAAAACAAATGCTTTATTCAGAATTTAAAGTCAGATCAGATGAATGATGGCTTATAAAGCATTTTTTCAAACAAGATTGTATTAATTAGGATTTTTTTTAACGTCTTGAGAGAAATATTTTCTGCTCACCAAGGCTGCATTTATTTGATCATAAAGGCAGTAAAAACAGAGAAATATTATTACAATTTAAAATATGTTTGCTATGTGAATATATTGTAAAATGTAATTTATTCCTGTGATCAAAGCTGAAGAAACTTGTTGCTCAAGAAACATTTCTGATTTTTGTCAATGCATTTTGAATCATACTTTTGTGGAAACTATGATATACTACTATTCAAAAGTTTAGGGTAAGATAATCAGAAATGTGTCTTGAGCAGCAATTCAGCATATTAGAATGATTTCTGAAGGATCATGTGACATTGAAGACTGGAGTAATGATGCTGAAAATTCAGCTTTGATCACAGGAATAAATTATATTTTACTACACATTCAGATAGAAAAACTATTTTAAGTTGTATTAATATTTCACATTACTGTTTTTAATGTATTTTTGATTAAATAAATCAGTCTTGGTGAGCAAATCCTTATTCCAGACTTTTACAGATATACTTATATTTCAGGTGCCACATGATGTTGGAGTGCTCAGACTCGAGCCGTAATCCAGTTCAATCGGATTTTCCATACTCATTTTCTGAGGACGGTCAACTGCGGCACAAAGTCACCTGTGAACCCTACAGGTTCCCCTTTAGGCTTGATGACGTCCGTGGAACCGAACGGGAACATCACAGCCTCTGTCACTACATCACTCAGCACGTGTACGACCTCTTAGAGAGGAACTTTCACCTTATTAGGGTGCATCTCGAGGAGGACGGTTTTGTATTCATGAGTCCAGGAGCACTGTATCAACCTGGGAGTCTTCTGGTTCTGATTCAGGACTGGGGAACAGTGCGGAGCGGCGTGTGGAGCTGGAAGCTTTCTGCTCACGAGGGACTGGAGCGAGGCAGTCAGATCCCGTATCTTCGCTGGGCTGCGCTGGAGTCATGTGCCGTTATCATAATGAACCCTAACGAGGGTGGGAAAACTCTAGAACATCACGTCCATCTGGTCTGGGAACGCTTAGTTTCCCGGAGCTCCGCTGAGCACATTTTTGTGGTCGCTCACGGCTATGGAGGCTTGGCTTTTGTGGATCTACTTTGCTATCAGCTTGAAGAGGTTCAGCGTCGTGTGAAGGCTGTGGCTTTCTTGGATTCATCTCACAACCTGTGGCATCAGCTGTTGGGAAAGGCTGGACGCGACTGGCTGAAATCCCACTCCAGAACTTGGATTCTCAGCACCAAACCCCTGAATCGCTCTGTCGGGTCTCTGAAGGCCGGTTGCCCGCAGATTTCCGCAGGTACTCAGTGCCATGACTCTGCGCCCACCATCTGCATGGAGTCTGTTTTTCGCTTCTTCAGCAAGACCATCAAACCTAAAGCCACGCCAACTCCATTTGAAATCATCACCAGGAGCAAGAGCCGTGCAAAGGACCAAAACAACAACTCAATATGATCACACAAATGGACTGACCTGAAGGGTTTCTGAAATAAATAAAAGACTTTGCATCAAAATGATCATTTCTGTCTGATTATTGTAAAAAAGACTTGTTTGTTTCTTCATGAGATTTGGAGAAATGTAGCATTATATCACTTGCTCACCGATGGATCCTCTGCAGTGAATGGATGCCGTCAGAATGAGAGTCCAAACAGCTGATAAAAACATCACAATAATCCACATGACTCCAGTCCATCAATTAATGTCTTGTGAAGCCAAAAGCTGCGTGTTTGTATGAAACAAGTCCATCAATAAGACATTTTTAACTAAAATACGAGTCTATAATCCATAATAACGCTTCCTCCAGTGAAAAAGTAATCTGGTCTAAATCAGAAGAGAAATATGCACAGATCAAGCACCGTTTACAAGCCAAAACAGTTCTAAACAAAAATGTTGGTGGATTTTGATGTGAGAGGACAATTGGGGATGGACAATAATGCTTCCTCACTGAAGGAAGCATTATTATGGATTATGGCATTTTAGCCAGAAGTTAAAAACGTCTTGATGGATTTTTTTTTTTCCAAACATGCAGCTTTTGATTTGACTTAAGATATTAATTGATGGACTGGAGTCGTGTGGATTACTTGTAGATTATTGTGATGTTTTTATCAGCTGTTTGGACTCTCATTCTGACGGCACCCATTCACTGCAGAGGATCCACTGGTGAGCAAATGATATAATGCTACATTTCTCCAAATCTGATGAAGTAGTAAAAGTAGTAAAAAAATTGTTTGAAGTAGTTTAAAATTACCATCAATGTCATTAAACTTCTAGAAGTGTAAAACCAATATGCTTTACTTTGAAAACATCATACAAAAATTTCACAATACGCAGAATACATCAGATTGTCATTTCCACAGGAAACTCTACATCCTGACAAAGCTCACTTTAACTAGTCACTCTGTCAGAAGACGTGATTCTTGACTCTAATACTGTTGTGTAAAACTCAATGCTAGATGTCATGGTACAGTAGATCATATTTGGGAACGTTTCTTGGGTCGATCGGGCTTTGGACGATCAGTTTTCCTCTCATGGCGCCTCGATAGATCACTTCAATCAGATCCATGAAGTCCTGTTTGGTTTTGAAACTTCCCACAAACTTGGTATGATCTGGAGATCTGAATGGAAATAAATCAAAATCTGAGTGGAGTGATATGAACAACTTCAGTGAAATATCAATTAAACAGCTAAAGAGGAAATTATGACCGCTGAAATGTATGTGCCAGAACATGAAATACCATGATTACTTATGCATCAAATTTATCTTTCTTGTTTCCAAACACTTCTTTGGAAACATCCATTTCAGCAAGTTAATTTTAAAGGGGTCACATGATGTTGCTAAAAAGAACATTATTTTGTGTATTTGGTGGTAACAGTATGTATGCATGTGTGTGTTTACATATATATATATATATATATGCACATTTAAATTGTGACTTTTAAAGTATAAATAAATAAATTTATTAAATAAATATCTATTAAACAGGCACATATACAAATATATATATATATATATATATACACACACACACATATACATTTGTGTGTGTGTGTGTATATACAGTGCATAGATTTAAATGTATAATAGATATTTCAATTATTACCTTTATCTAAATACAGTGGGTATAGAAAAGAATCACCCCCTTTAAAATAATCACATTTTGTTGCTTTGCACTGTGTGCTCAGTTTTGCTGTGTGCTTTGGGTCATTGTCATGTTGGAAGGTAAACCTTCTTCCCATTGACAACTTTCTCAAGAATTTGATGCTATTTTGCCCCATCCATTTTTCCTTCTATTCTAACAAGTGCTCCAGTCCCTGTTGCAGAGAAACACCCCCATAACAGGATATTACCCCCTCCATGCTTTACTGTAGGAATGGTGTTATTTGGATGGTGAGCTATATTGGATTTCTGCCAGATATATCGTTTGGTGTTGAGGCCAAATAATTCAATTTTAGTCTAATGTGGCCTCAGAATCTTTAAGGTGTGTTTTGGCAAAGCTCAGTCATGACTGCATGTGGCCTTTCTTGAGGAGTGGCTTTTTCATTCAGTCCTCCCAAACAAGCCACATTTGTGGAGAATTTGTGATATTGTTGTCACATGCACACAATGAGCACTCTTTGTCATAAATTCCTGCAGCTGCTTCAGAGTTGCTGTAAGTCTCTTGGTAGCTTCTCTGACCAGTTTCCTCATGGCTCTTTCATCCAGTTTGGAGCGACGTCCTGATCCAGGGAGGCTCTGTGTTGTACCAAATACCTCTTAATAATAGACTTCGCTGTGCTTCTAGGCATTGATAAAGCCTTTGAATTTTTTTGGATCCATCTTCTGACTTGTGCCTGTCCACAGCTTTATCCCGGAGATCTTTTGACAGTGCCTTGCCACCCATAGTTGATTGTTTGCTTCAGCTGCACTACCAAGGACTGAAATGCTACAGGAAAGCTCTTTTCATGCTGAGCTAATCAAAATGACCACAGCTGATCACAGTTGAAAGTCAAATGGCTTTGTGTGCCATTGAGAAGGTAATTAGCTCCCCCTGATTGAGTTTATAAGTCATTTTTAGGAGGGGGTGATCCTTTTTGCAACTCAGCGTGATGTTCTGTTTTTTTATTTTTTCTGACATGTCGGTGTTATATCCTTCACTTGGATGTTCTAAGTTGCACTGAGTAAATACAGCTGGATAAAACTAAAACTGGGTCCGTCTTCATTTCAGGCTGCAAAGCAACAAAATGTGATTATTTTAAAGGGGGTGATTCTTTTCTATACCCACTGTATCTATTAAATATGCAAATAGTGTGTGTATTATATACATGAAGACTTCAGATGCAAAAAAAGACCGTCTGAGATTTTTCTTTTACATGAGCATTTTTATCAGGCTCCTATTAAATTAACATTTTAAATAAAGTTTTAAAATTAAGCTTAAAGCCATTAATTATGCACATATGAACATATAAAAATAATAGTGAGAGAGATTTATGTATATATGTATGTATGTGTATATATATATATATGTATGTGTATATATATATATATATATGTGTGTGTGTGTGTGTGTGTGTGTGTTTGTGTCCGTGTAGTTTATTTATATATACTTAAATATCTACTAAATATAGAAACTTTATATTTGTGTGTGTGAGAGAATGCAAGTTAAGCACGTGGCTATTAAATACGCACATGTGCAAATATAAGACGTGATATAGACCCAAAAGAAAACATATACCACATAATTCATTTGTTAGTAAATATGAGGATCATGATCATCATAACTCACAATCTCGTCCAGCTGTAAACACACAGAATCTTCATCTCTGCCGAATCGCAGAACTAAAACCTTCTCAGCGACCGATTTAATGGCGTCATCAATGTCTTTTTTACACGACAGTTTAGGGAGAAATAAACTCATGACGCTTTAAATGAATTCACCCAGAATTATGAACAAAATTAACTAAATATTGGGAATACACGCGTGAACTCCACCGGATGTTTACTAGAGTGTGGCGCACCGCTATATATGAGCTGACTAGAAACGCTATCAATAGTTCCTACACTGTGTACACAACTCAACATAAATATGTTATTCCTGTTAGTGATATTACGTATTCTACTCTTTTAAATTACATGAACAAATATTAGCACATTTGCGCATTCAAACATCTTTTTTAAAATATTAAATTAAGTTACAGACAGCTCATTTAATAAACGAATGCAGCTTTCCGCACGGTCAGCTTTTATTGTTGCACACCGACATCCACATGACAGCAGGCAGCGTGTGTCCTTTTGAGTAGTGATGGGAAGTTCGGTTCTTTTCCGCGAACCGGTTCTTTCGGACAGTTCGATTCAATAAACCGGTTGAAAAAACCGGTTCACCGGTTATTTTACGCTCGACGTAATGACGTAATTGGCGATGACGTAATGGCGTTAAGTCTATCGCGGGCTTAACACATTCAAATATAAAGTCAGTAATCATAACATCAGTCAATTAAAACATCATTATAATCTGATACGTTTCTTACAATTTGGATTTTTGTATCTAAAGCATCAACACATATACAGGCAGTGATCTGCAAACTAGGATGTTTTACAGTTATGACGTCAATAAATTAGTCTTGTTCACTAAGAAGAACCGGTTAAATCGAACGATTCGTTCGCGAAGCGGACATCACTACTTTTGAGGGTCCGGTGACTTCCGAGTGAAGATACAGAAATATATCTGACATGGTATATTGATGTTACTTTAATGTGTGTGAATGTGATTACAGATGTAGAGGAGACCGGGGCTAGTTGTCACAGTTCTGTTATATCTCTGTAACCACTGGTTGAATTCCAGTCCTGTGGATCCCGTTTGAATTCCAGTCCTGTGGACCCCCTGTTCTGCACATTTTGCATGTCTCCCTTATTTAACACACCTGATTCAGATCAGAGCTTTGTGAACTGAATTGATTGTGTCAGATAAGAGAGACATACAAAATGTGCAAACAGTGAGTCCCCAGGACTGGAATTGAGAAGAACCACTATCTGTAATTATCAGGTTTGAGTCATAAATAGGCCTACTTGTTTTCTCTGGCAGAGTTAATTGTTGTTATAGTTTCAAACGTATATCAGCCCTATCTTGCAATTGTGTGTGTTTGTGAATTTTGCCCCTCAAACTAAAATTAGACCTTCATTTGGGTCAAACATTGTTTTTGTGATACCGTTAACATTTTTGCTGTTTCATAATAGTATATATATAGCTACTATTTAGTTTAAAATTAGCTGTTCCATTAATTGCAGGTTGACAGTGACAACTTACCACACAATATGACAACATTCCACTGTATGAACTGTATTTTTTCCTGGCCAGTAACAAAGGAAATGTTCAGAATCTTTTACTGTAACCAAACATGTATTGTTTGTGTCCGTTTCATATGATTGATTGGAGGGAAAATTGTCTGAAATTCCCATTGAAAATTATTATTATTATATATATATATATATACACACACATGATGAACCAGTATATTATGACCACCCCCATTATGTTAGGACCAATGAGCATGCCTGGCAACCGAATGGTGCCGCTGGTGCAGTTCACAGAGCAGTATATATATCACCCAAGGACTGGCTTTCGGTCAGTAGAGTGTTTGGTGTCAGAATGGGAAAAGCTGCTGATTTGTGGGAGTTTGATAAAGGACAAATTGATGGCACGGTGCCTCAGAACTTCGATCTCAGAAACAGTGCGCCTTGTGGGTTGTTCACGTGCCACTGTAGTGAGTATGTATCAAAAGTGGTGCACGGATAGCCAAACGACGAACCGCCGTCCAACCATGTGTCGTCCACAGCTTATTGTTGCCAGAGAGGAGAGGAAACTGTCGCACATTGTTCACAGTGACTACAAGGCCACCGTGTGACAAATCACCAGCAGCTACAACAGTGGTGACCAGGGCAGTGTGTCACAGCACACAGTTCACTGCAGCCTTCTGTATATGGGCCTGCGTAGCCATCAACCCAGCCGAATCCCCATGCTCCCTCAACAAAGCATTAAATGGGCTCAAGATCATCAAGATTGGAGTGTGGATGATTGGAAGAAATTGGCCTGGTCGGATGAATCAAGATTCCTGGTGCATCACGTCAATGGCCGAGTGCGGATACACCGATTACCAACAGAGGTTATGGTACCTGGATGCACTGTTGGGCGGACACAGGCCAGCAGTGGCGGTGTTATGCTGTGGGCGATGTTTTCTTGGGAAACTTTAAGGCCCCATTATCCCAATGGCACAATCCCTGACAGCTGTTAGGTATCTGAACATCGTTGCAGACCAAGTGCACCCATTCATGGCAACTGTGTTTGTTGCCGGTGATGGCCATTACCATTAGGATAATGTGCCATGCCACACTGCCAGAATCGTTAAGGAGTGGTTTGAGGAACATGATGGTGAATTTCTTTTAATGACTTGGCCTCCAAATTCACCTGAAATGAACCCAATCGAAAAGCAGGTTTGCACTACATCACCATCACTCCGCAATGTATGGGAACTGGAGGACCTGCTGTTGACATTATAGTACCAGAGGTTCTACAGGTTATAAAAGCGAGCTGTGCCGTACCATGCAGTGGAAAATCACCATTAGATAGTTGGTCATAATGTAATGACTCGTCAGTGTGTGTGTGTGTGTATATATATATATACACACACAGGTGCATCTCAATAAATTTGAATGTCGTGGAAAGTTCATTTATTTCAGTAATTCAACTCAAATTGTGAAACTCGTGTACTAAATAAATTCAACGCACACAGACTGAAGTAGTTTAAGTCTTTGGTTCTTTTTAATTGTGATGATTTTGGCTCACATCTCAACAAATTAGAATACTTCATAAGACCAATAAAAAAAACATTTTTAGTGAATTGTTGGCCTTCTGGAAAGT